AAGTTTGAAGGTGACTTATTGTACGGAACATAGAATAGAAAAGGAGAGACGAGTTGGAAGAGACCTTGGAGGTCTTCTAGTCCAACCCCCTGCTCAAGCAAGGAGACCCTACACCATTTCAGACCAATGGCTATTCAATCTCTTCTTAAAAACCTCCAGTGATGGAACATTCACAACTTCTGGTGGCAAAGAGTTCCATGGGTTAATCGTTCTCACGATCAGAAAATATTCTCTAGGTTGCTTCTCTTCTTGGTTAGTTTCCCTCCATTGCTTCTTTTTCCTGCCTTCCTGTGGCTTGGAAAATAGGTGGACTGGACCCCCCTCTTCTCTGTGGCAGCCCCTCAAATTGGAAGACCGCTATCATGTCACCCCTAGTTCTCCTCTTCGGCAGAGCAGACATTTCCTGCGACCATTCATCCTATGATTTGGCCCCTATACACACACACACACACACACACACACACACACACACAAACACACGAGAGATTATCTTTGTTGCTCCTCCTTGCACCCTTTCTAGAGTCTCGACATCTTTTCTGTGTTGTGTTGAGCAGAACTGGAGGCAATGTAAAGCGGTACTAACACTTCTTGTGTTGATTTAGTCCTGATTAAATGACATCATGAATTCATTCACCAGTTCATTCATGGGGAAAAACCAAAAATGACAGCTAAGCCTGCCCCTTCATTCAAAGACACGTAAGTCCTTCGAGGAGGACACTTCTTCAAGGATTCGGTCCTTCAAGGAGGACTCACTTCTCCGCGCCCAAGGACATCGCAACCAGAGCGGCATCGTCCACCAAGATGGCTGCCCTTCTTTCCTTCCTTCTTATCCTCGCCTGTCTGTCAGGATCCTTCGGCCAAGAAGGTGAGGCTTAAACCCATGTAGAAGCAGTTGCACCTGTCCACAGAAGCTCCTGTGATCTCCAGAAACTGGGTGAAATCTGTTGAGCTTTTCATCCACGTGGTCCTCAATGGGGCAGTTGAATCTCCTTTTCATGGTAGAGCTTGTTGGTCAAGTTGTAAGCCCGTGGTTGATTTCCCCAGAAGATCCTTCTGAGGTGGCTTTAGCCAGATAGAGTCTCCATGAATCCCAAATTCCTGGTCTTGGTTGAGAAGGAGAAGCTGTCTTTGTATCCGACCCCCCCACAAAAAATTCAGGGCTCAAGTGGGAACCTGCCCTGACCCTTGTCAAAACAGCCAGCTTTTGTTGGACAGATTTTCCCATGCAACTTCCTTGCTCGGGGCTCAAGGTCCTTTTATCTACCCATCGTGTTGCTAGCGGCTTTCCTTCCCCTTCCACTACCCGATCCTAAATAGGTATCTTGCTAATAGAGTTCTCTTGTTCTCCTTTTTTTTTTTTTTTTGAGTCTGTCATCTGTACCTCTATCACTGTCTGGTTTGGTTCTGCAACCCAACAAGACAGACACAGACTTCGGAGAGTAATTGGGAGTGCAGAAAAAAATAATGGCTACCAACCTGCCTTGCATGGAGGACTTTTTATACTTCATGAGTCAAAAAGAGGGCTGTGAAAATA